CTCCCAGGGTAGTATCACCAGTGCTCTCACCCGCCGCCTCTCTCCCAGGGTAGTATCACCAGTGCTCTCATCCTCCGCCTCTCTCCCAGGGTAGTATCACCAGTGCTCTCACCCGCCGCCTCTCCCCCAGGGTAGTATCACCAGTGCTCTCACCCGCCGACTCTCCCCCAGGGTAGTATCACCAGTGCTCTCACCCGCCGCCTCTCCCCCAGGGTAGTATCACCAGTGCTCTCACCCGCCGCCTCTCCCCAGGGTAGTATCACCAGTGCTCTCACCCGCCGCCTCTCCCCAGGGTGGTATCACCAGTGCTCTCACCCGCCGCCTCTCCCCCAGGGTGGTATCACCAGTGCTCTCACCCGCCGCCTCTCCCCCAGGGTGGTATCACCAGTGCTCTCACCCGCCGCCTCTCCCCCAGGGTAGTATCACCAGTGCTCTCACCCGCCGCCTCTCCCCCAGGGTGGTATCACCAGTGCTCTCACCCGCCGCCTCTCCCCCAGGGTGGTATCACCAGTGCTCTCACCCGCCGCCTCTCCCCCAGGGTGGTATCACCAGTGCTCTCACCCGCCGCCTCTCCCCCAGGGTGGTATCACCAGTGCTCTCACCCGCCGCCTCTCCCCAGGGTAGTATCACCAGTGCTCTCACCCGCCGCCTCTCCCCCAGGGTGGTATCACCAGTGCTCTCACCCGCCGCCTCTCCCCCAGGGTAGTATCACCAGTGCTCTCACCCGCCCCTCTCTCCCCCAGGGTGGTATCACCAGTGCTCTCACCCGCCGCCTCTCCCCCAGGGTAGTATCACCAGTGCTCTCACCCGCCGCCTCTCCCCAGGGTAGTATCACCAGTGCTCTCACCCGCCGCCTCTCTCCCAGGGTAGTATCACCAGTGCTCTCACCCGCCGCCTCTCCCCCAGGGTAGTATCACCAGTGCTCTCACCCGCCGCCTCTCCCCCAGGGTAGTATCACCAGTGCTCTCACCCGCCGCCTCTCCCCCAGGGTGGTATCACCAGTGCTCTCACCCGCCGCCTCTCCCCCAGGGTAGTATCACCAGTGCTCTCACCCGCCGCCTCTCCCCCAGGGTAGTATCACCAGTGCTCTCACCCCTAAACTTATTAAAAATTTCATTACTCAGTCATCTACGTCTTCTCGGCCTCATAACTCATCTCATTTATATTTTTTAAATAATTATTAATAATATTTTAGCGTAACTCTTGATTGATTTTTCGATTTGAGGAAAAACTGTTACATTATTATTAGTAGTAGTAGTAATAGTAGTAGTAATAGTAGTAGTAGTAAAAGTAGAAGTAGTAGTAATAGTACTATTATTAGTAGTAGTACTAGTATTATTATTACTGGTAGTAGTAGTAGTAATAGTAGTAATATTATTATTATTAATTATTATTATTATTATTATTATTATATTATTATTATTATTATTGTTGTTGTTTTTACCTGTATGTTAAAATTCGCAATGCCCGTGCCTACCTATAATTATTAAATGCAATTATAGTTTTTGTTTATACAATTAATCAAGGGACGGGGAATTCGGGCTTTGAAAATCTTATTGTGGGAAATTCCATATTGAATTTCGTTCATTCCGTTCCTATCAGGTATTACTGGAGAGTTTTGGAAGTTAATTTAAACACACAAACGTTCCACAGAGATGAATTAGATTTTATTCCCATAAATAGCCCAGGAAGGTTAATGATTAACCCGGGATAACCCAGAAAACTAGAGATGTGGTTTGCTTACATTGGTTTCCTGAGACTTTCCCAAGATGCGACCTTCAGCGGTTGACTAACACCCAGGTACCTATACACTGCTAGGTCCCAGCAGCCTACTGACACCCAGGTACCTATACACTGCTAGGTCCCAGTAGCCTACTGACACCCAGGTACCTATACACTGCTAGGTCCCAGCAGCCTACTGGCACCCAGGTACCTATACACTGCTAGGTCCCAGTAGCCTACTGGCACCCAGGTACCTATACACTGCTAGGTCCCAGTAGCCTACTGACACCCAGGTACCTATACACTGCTAGGTGAATTAATGAGATGCCTGCCCATACAACCATCCTGGCACAGGGTTCAGCCCGGGTAATTTGTCTGTGATCCCAGACTACGAATTTCTCACTTCTTTTTTCATTGTTTTATCAGAGTGACATAATAGATCACAGATAGTGATGTCATACCTCAGAGTTACAGACTGCAGTACGTCGCAGTTGACCATGATAAGCAGGTCGGCCCCTCACAGACAATCACAGGTGACCACGATGGGCAGGTCGGCCCCTCACAGACAATCACAGGTGACCACGATGGGCAGGTCGGCCCCTCACAAACAATCACAGGTGACCACGATGGGCAGGTCGGCCCCTCACAAACAATCACAGGTGAACACGATGGGCAGGTCGGCCCCTCACAGACAATCACAGGTGACCACGATGGGCAGGTCGGCCCCTCACAGACAATCACAGGTGACCACGATGGGCAGGTCGGCCCCTCACAAACAATCACAGGTGACCATAATGGGCAGGTCGATCCCTCACAGACAATCACAAAGAACCATGATGGGCAGGTCGGCCCCTCACAAACAATCACAGGTGAACACGATGGGCAGGTCGGCCCCTCACAAACAATCACAGGTGACCATAATGGGCAGGTCGATCCCTCACAGACAATCACAAAGAACCATGATGGGCAGGTCGGCCCCTCACAGACAATCACCAACAACACTTTCAACTAAATTGTCACTCTGGACGTCACTGAGGACGGAGAACATTTAAATCCCATGTCAGAAAGTCTGTACACGGAGCCTTAATTCGAAAAACTGAATATATCAGCAGTGTGCTGCTACCTTGTTCTGTTGTGGCATTTGCAGAGTGGGAACAAAATGTGTGTTTATCGTATTCCATCACACAGGATGGGACTTACATAAAGCGTTGAAATCTGTCAGCTTGAGCTAGAGACTTCAGCCGTTTAAGAAAAGGTTTCCACCTGGTCAGTCAGGTTGATGCTACTAGCGGCCCGCAAGATGAATGTGAAATAGTGAGGAATATAGAAGGAAAATGAGATATAGAGATGAAAGGGTATAAAATGAGTAGCGAGAGATAATGAGGAGAGGTTAGAGATAGCGATGGTAAGGAGAGTGAGAATAGTGAGGAATAGTAAAGATAGTGAGGGATGGGGAAGATATCTGCGAGGCATCCTGCCTAAGAGCTTGCAATTTGAAGATAATGGTCAGTGTTACATTGTGGGATCCAGTCGTTACTCTCACCCACGCTCCCGTCACCACCACTACTACCACTACCACCACTATGTAGCATCACCGCCACCACTACCATCACCACCACCACTACTACCATCACCACCAACCACCACGACCATCCCAATCAAGTCATTGGTAATTCTTTTCCAGTTACTTTCTCTAGGCTGGAAGATGCTACCCTACACTAAAAGCCCCCTTTTTAACCTAGGCGAAATTAAAACTGAAGAAAATATGGAGAACATTACTGGCCGTAAAAATTCAGTTCCCGATCAACCGGGTTATGGTGCATGCGTTGGTTTGCATGCGGCTGGCACCAACAGCCTAATCGATCAGACCACCACGGGGACGGTGACCGCCGAAACCATTAAGGCAAAGATAAATCTTTGCCCTTGTGTTTCACCCACATGAGGACTCCAGACAAGTAAGAATTAAAGTCCAGTCAGCCCTTCGTATTTAGCGTCTTGCCGCCATTGCACCTGCGCTGCCACTTAGTAGACCTAGTCCAGACTAGAGCTCAACGCAGAGCACACAATGTTTCGCTCACTCACTGGATAAGCGTAGAACAAGTCAGACGTAGTGTTCACTAACCAGCTTACGGCCTGGCGTGGGCTAGCACTGTGTAGTACTCATTGCTACAATGAGGGTAAGTCTCGCCTCCGTGCCCATTACTCCACCAAGCTACTAGTTTCCTAGACTCCGATGTAAATGTCTCAGAACCAGAGCAACATACTTTATTATGGCAACAAGATAGTCTAAAAGCTCATGTTTTGTTTACCAATAGATTTAGTATAGTAGATGAATGGTTCAGAGAACCGACATGTTGATAAATTAGACACATGTGCAACTCTTGGTTATCTTTATTGAGGAAACGTTTCGCCACACAGTGGCTTCATCAGTCCATACAAAGGAGAATCTTGAAGAACAGGAGGAGAATGAGGTAATCAGTCCCTCAACCTTGAGTCGATGTGGTCAGTCCATCAATCTTGAATAGAATACGGCATACGTGCTGAGAAGGAGCATATAAACCGTTGGCAGGAGAGGTGCAGCAGTCATAGGTCGTGTAACATTTGTTCAATGTTGAAGTAGGTCGTGCCCAAGAATTAGGCAAGCGAAGAATTCCCAAGTATTAAGATCCCAAGAAGTTGCAGTGTCTGACAGGTTTGTAGATGAATGGTTCAGAGAACCGACATGTTGATAAATTAGACAGATTTAGTATACTAAACGCAGCCATGCATCACAACCCTCCTCCAACACTACAACAAACAACGCACTCCACAACACTTTCTACGACACCAACACAACAACTTCACAACACCCACCTAACACTCTCCAACAGAACTACAACAACACTCAACACCACTATCGCAGCACTGTATGACCCTGGTGGGTTTAGCGCTTAGTTTTGATTATAATAATAATAATCAACACTACTTCCACAATACTCAACACCACCACAATACAACACCAAAACAACTTTCACAACAACACTCAACACAACAAATATCAACCCACCACTAAACATAGGCGCTAATATCACCATGATGTTTAATACCACAACAATCAACACCACAACAATCAATACCACCATAATCAACACCACCATAATCAACACCACCATAATCAACACCACCACAATCAACACCACTACTACAACCCTCAAAACCGCCACACTCAGCACCACTGCAGTTTCCTCCTGAGGACACTACTGACACAGCCGAGTACAGACACTGCTGAGGTTACTTACTGAAGGCCAGGCAGGTAAGTGCAGAGAGGAAGAGGATATGCCAGCGACGGAAGGCGCCCCACACTTCCTGCTCCTCCCAGGGGCGACCCACGCCCACACACACGCCCTGGGCGGTGCACACACAAGCGGAGACAGGACATCGTGAGACAAGGAGACAAACACACAAGTTAGTATTAACATGAGAACATAAGAAACGTTACAATCGGAATGCTCCGCCTAACAAAGGGTTTTGCTTGTGTACTGTTAAATGTCAACGAATGTTATTAAATTAATATGCATTATGTGGCAATAATAAGAATTTATGTAAGCGCTAAACCCGCAAGGGTCATACAGCGCTGAATGAAGCATTAGTATATTTTTGTAGCAAGGCTGGTGAAGTTCCTTTATTATTTTATACACACACACACACACACACACACACACACACACACACACACACACACACAAGCACGTCAAGAAGTTAGAGAAAGTACAAAGGTTTGCAACAAGGCTAGTCCCAGAGCTCAGGGGAATGTCGTACGAGGAAAGGTTGAGGGAAATCGGACTTACGACACTTGAGGACAGAAGGGTCAGGGAAAACATGATAACGACAATACAAGATACTGGGGGGAATAGACAAGGTGGACAAGATAGGATGTTCCAGAGGGGGGACACAGAAACAAGGGTCACAACTGAAGCTGAGGACCAGACGATCACAGGGACGGTAGGAAGTATTTCTTCAGTCATAGAGTCGTCAGGAAGTGGAATAGCCTAACAAGTGAAGTAGTGGAGGCAGGAACCATACATAGTTTTAAGAAGAGGTATGACAAAGCTCAGGAAGCAGAGAGGGAGAGGACCTAGTAGCGATCAGTGAAGAGGCGGGGCCAGGAGCTGAGTCTCGACCCCTGCAACCACAATTAGGTGAGTATAAGGTGACCACACACACACACACACACACACACACACACACACCACACACCACGCACTTTCCTATAAAAGCGAAATCGGTGTCGAAACTCCAGTAAGGAGCTTCGTGATGTTTTAGAAAAATCAATCCAGTGAGAAGTGGCAGCATAGTGTGTCGACAGCAACATAGTGTGTGTACCACAGCAGCATAATGTGTCGACAGCATAGTGTGTCCACCACAGCAGAAAAGTGTGTCCCACAGCAGAAAAGTGTGTCCACCCCCAGCAGCATATGTGTCCCCCCCGCAGCATAGTGTTTCCCCACAGCAGATAGTGTGTCCACAGCAGAATAGGTGTCCCCCCAGCAGATACTGTGTTCCCCCCCACACTGCCAGAATATTTTGTCCCCCACAGCAGCATAATGTCACACAAACAGCATATGTCCACAGCAGCAAAAGTGTGGCCACAGCAGCAAGTGTCCACCACAGCAGCAATGTGTTCCCCCCAGCAGCATAGGTGTCCACCCGCAGCATAGTGTGTCCACTACAGCAGCATAGTGTGTCCCACAGAGCATAGTGTGTCCCACCATAGCAACGCATAGTGTGTCCACCCCAGCAGAGTGTCCACCACAGCAGCATAATGTGTCCACCACAGCAGCATAATGTGTCCCCCCAAGCAGCATATGGTCCCCACAGCACATAGTGTCCCACAGCACATACTGTGTCCCACAGCAGCATAATGTCCACCACAGCACATATGTGTCCACAGCAGCATAGTGTTCCCCCCCGCAGCATAAGTGTACCACCCGAGCATAATGCCCCCCAGCAGCATAGTAAAATCCACCCCAGCAATGTGTCCACCACAGCAGCATAGTGTTCCACCACAGCACATAGTGTGTTTCCCCAGCAGCAGTGTGTCCCCCCACAGCAGCATATGTGTCCCCCCACGCAGCATAGTGCCACCACAGCAGCATGTGTCCACCACATAGTGCCCCAAAATCAGTGTCCACCACAGCAGCATAGTGTGTCCACCACAGCAGCATAGTGTGTCCACCACAGCAGCATAGTGTGTCCACCACAGCAGCATAGTGTCCACCACAGCAGCATAATGTGTCCACCACAGCAGCATAATGTGTCCACCACAGCAGCATAGTGTCCAACCACAGCAGCATAGGGGTCCACCCCCAGCAGCATAATTTTCCCCACAGCAGCATACTGTGTCCACAGCAGATAGTGTCCCCCACAGCAGCATAGTGTCCACCACAGCACATATGTGTCCCACCAAAGCACAGCACATAGTGTGTCCCCCCAGCAGCATAATGTGTCCACCCCAAACAGCATAGTGTGTCCACAGCAGCAAGTGTGTCCACCACAGCAGCATAGTGTGTTCCCCAGCAGCACAGTTTTCCACCACAGCAGCATAGGGGTCCACCCCAGCAGCATAGTGTCCACCACAAGGCCCCCCATAATGTGTCCACAGCAGCATAATGGTCCCCCAGCAGCATAGTGTGTCCACAGTAGCAAGTGTGTCCAACCACAGCAGCATAGTGTGTCCACAGCAGCAAGTGTCCACCAGCGCAAATGTCCACAGCAGCATAGTGTCACCACAGCAGCAAAGTGTCCACCACAGCAGCATAGTTGTCCACCCCAGCACTTGTTCCACCACAGCAGCATAATGTGTCCACAGCACAAATGTCCACCAGCAGCATGTGTCAAACCCCAGCAGCATAGTGTCCACCACAGCAGCAAAATGTCCACCACAGCAGCATGGTGTAGCGAGCCACCCAGCAGCATAGTGTGCCACCACAGCAGCATAGTGTGGGCCACCACAGCAGCATAGGTCCCACAGCAGCATAATTTTCCACCACAGCAGCATAATGTGTCCACAGCAGCAAGTGTCCACCACAGCAGCATGTGTGCCACCACAGCACATATGTGTCCACACAGCAGCATAGTGTGTCCACCACAGCAGCACGGTGGTCCACCCCAGCACTAATTGGGCCACCCAGCGCATAAATGTCCACCACAGCAGCAATGTGTCCACAGCAGCAGGGGTGTCCACCACAGCACATAGTGTGTCACCACACAGCATAGTGTTTTCCACCAAGCCGCATAGTGTCCCACAGCAGCATAGTGTGTCACCACAGCAGCAAAAGTTTTGTCCACCAGCAACCCTAGTGTGTCCCACAGCACATAGTGGTCCACACAGCACAAGTGTGTCCCCCAGCACATAATGTCCACCATCAAGATGTTGTTTTTTCCCCAGCACAAAATGTTACCACAGCACCATAGTGGGGTACCACAGCACATAGTTGTCCACACAGCAGCATAGTGTCAAAGCAGCATAATTAAAGCAGCATAATTTCAACACAGGTCCAACAAGATATTGCTAAAAATAGTGTGTATCAAAAAAGTTGTCACAAGCAAAACACGTTGTTCCACCCAGCAGCAAATTAGTACCAAGCACATAGTGGGAACACAGCCACTAGTTGTTACCCCACAGCACGTGTGTAACAGCAGATTATGCTCACCACACACTATGTAAAGCAATATTGTAACAGCAGAATTGAACAGATAGGTGACCAAGAACATTTTGTTCCACTTACACTATAGTTTCACCAGTTTTGGTGTCCCCCACGCAGATAAGGTCCAACACAGTAATGTCCACAGCAGCAATAATTTAGACATAGTGGTCAAAGCAGCATAATGTTACAAGAAAAGGGTTCAACAGCAGCAATAATGTGGACAAACAGGCAATGTTCCACAGACTAGTTGTTTTCCCCACAGGGAAAATGTGTCCACCACACGCATGGAAAGGGATAATTTTAAGGAAATTTTTCCCCCTTGTGGACAGAAAAAAGAACAAAAAAGGTAAATTAAAAATATTTAAAATTTTTAAAAAAATTTAAAAGGGATTAAAACAGAAAAAACAAACTTGGGAGGAAAAAAACATGCTTTCTTATTTTTGAAAAAAAGCTTTTTAAAGTTTAATTAAAAGAAAAATTTTAAAATTTTTCTCAAATAATATTTGACAATAAATTATTTTTATTTTAATTTTATTTTAAAATTAGTTGTCTTGAGAAAGCTTTTAACCGTAGGGTCTTTCAGTACAAAAATTTATAGGGGAAAGACTTGTTTTAAGTACAGTGAGGGAGTCAACAGGGGTGGGGACATTTTTCAGTTGCAATTACATTGCTGAGCCCGTTGGGTTATTCAGCACAGGATAAAGGCTCGCCCCTCCGATGGAGGGGGATGAATTGTAAGGAATGTCTTGTGACAGAGAACATACATACCTGCTGACACATATGACGTTCTCCATCGGGGCTCAGGTCCCCCATTAAAACCCAGTCACTACACACTGAAGGAATAATCACCTCTTTTTTATAATTATTTGAACAATGTCTTCTTAAAAGTAATATGAGAATGTTTGTGGTTTTTCAAAACATATATATATATATTGTTGATGAAAGTATTATTGTCTGGGTGTGAAAAACAAGGGTCACGTGCAGCCTAGTATAGTCGATAGGCTTTAATCTTCCAATAATACCTCTAAACTATGTGGGAATGACGAGGTGGTGAGTTTAATAAGGTTAAAGCTTATCGACTGAGAAACAGACATTAGTGCTACACGTCAAGTGCTCACCATTAAACAAGAATAATTACCAACATAGGGAGAAAATTAAATTTTGTATGTATACAATCAAGATATACACCTATCGGTGTATAAACCCAATTATTAGTGGTAACTTTATAATTTCACGAGTTAATTATAAATGTTCGGGCAATGATAATTTTATTATTATTACAGATTCCATGTATATTTCAACTGAGAACATAGAGTAGTTCATTCAGGTGTTTTCCACCAGGATATTTTTCTTATAACTTTTTCTTTATCAAAAAGACACTAAACAATTAACTTACATCTTCGCAACAATATACTGTACACCTCACACGGATACCACCAGAAGACAGGCGACTGCAGTGTAACGTGATCAACACCTCACTACCACTCCACTGTTCTGCTTCCTTCCACAATATATTTCTTGTCCCTTCCCCTCCCACATACCCCGGAAAATTCCCCCTTTTATTGCATGTCTACTGACCCTTTCCCCTTCCCATCCTCCCTCCCTCCCTTCCCCCTCCCTACCTCTCATAACATCACGCAAAGTAATGACCACGAAAGTGTTTCACGTACTCTAAATCTCCTATGGAGGATCCTAATTCTCAGTTCACATATTACAGTGCGTTAAGTTACTAAGTGTAGGAGAGATCTTAAAATGTGAGTGAATCTCCCTGACACTGTCCTCGCTCAGCTAGAAGAAACCTAAGAACTAAGAACTCCGAAGGAAATAAGTCACACTGCTTGATTGTCGTAGGTTAATACTAGAAAGGCAATGTTTATTTTTTTTACAAGTTAAATATCCCTCTGTTGAGGGAGTTATCAGAGGGTACAAATAAAATAATTTGGATTTCTCTTGGTTTACACGACAGAACCAATAGAGAAAGTATCCTTGGGGCACAGTGTTATTCCTGACGCTCTTCTCCCAGCACCACGTCATTCCTCAATCTCTCATCCACCTCTCAGTTCCTCAGCTCCTCGCAGTTCTCGCTCGCACAGTGTAAACAGCCACGCCCTGCCTGCCCAATCCTTTTTAGTTAACAGCATGCAACAAGGTGTGTGTGTGTGTGTGCTCATTTATTCGTACTCACCTATTCGTGGATACAGAGGTTGAGTCTGGGTTCCTGGCCCTGCCTCATAAACTGGCCGTTACTGGGATTACATTTGTCCTGGCTTCATGAGCTCTATCATATCTATTCTTACTTTGAAGGTTCTCTTTATCCTCCCTGGAGTTATTTATTTTGTTTTGCAGGTCCTCTGTATTCATTTATTTGGGGCCTTTGTTGCGTTTAATATAATGCTTTCTGTTTATGGTCTGGCAGAGATCGGCAAACTTTTTTGGGTATTACCCCAAAACAAATTTGTGTACAGCGAAATTACCCACTAGACTTGAAAGTCCAAAGAATCCGGAAAACACAATGAGCATTCAAATTTAAAATAGTTTTTGGAATCCATTTGTATGGAGAATACAGTCATACAGTCTGAAAAGTATATATTATACGCGATAAAACAGCCTTAAAAATAAAACACAAAATTAACAAAATTAACAAAACTTCATTAAATAAATAATAGTAACATACATATTTACTAAAAATTTAATTAAGGAACTAAAGAATTTCATTGAAAACATTTTTATTTCATTACCCCTGAGATTTTCATTGTTCCCCTATTTGGGATAATTTACCCCGGTTCCACGACCTATGTGAATCTTAATGATCTACCTGTGTTCCGCATTCTTTGCTCGTTTTCGGTGTATTCTTCCCACATCTTAGCAACTGAAATTACCATTAAACATTTTTTCTCCACTGGAAAATTTTCTTGATATCTTAGTGAAAGGCTTTGCGTCTTCTACTTTCATTATCATCCGCAAAGGTTAATACGAAGCTGTGGCTGGTGTTTTTATCTGCTACGGGGATGAGAAACAGTAAAGGTGCCAGTACCGTGCCTTGAGAAACTGATCTTTTTAATTCTGTAAAGCACATTTGCATTTTGCTTTTCTTCCAAAGCCTCGTTTATCTCATAATGATCCAACAATTGTATTAATCAAAAATTTCCTTCTCTGACTCCATGTTGACTTGGGTTGTGTAGGTATATGGGTATACCTGGAGGACATTCAGGAGGTCAGTGCCTCCCACGGCCCGGTCCATGACCAGGTCTCGTGGTGGGTCAAAGCCTGATCAACCAGTCCTCTTGCTAATGATACTTGATGTTTCTTAACAATATCGAAATACAGAAATCAGGGCCAAGAACTGAGTGTATCGAAAAGTTTCTTTTTCTTTTTATAATCTGAAAGAATTTGCGGTAATATCTGATAAGCAGACACATAAATGCATTGTAATGAGAACCTTTACTGGCAACGTTTCGCACACACACTGAGCTTTATCAAGCCACAGAGAAACCTAAATGAATATTTTATACAATATCTCTCCATCAGTGTCTGATATATTATGTGTGGGGTGTACAGAGAGAAGTGGTGAAAGGTGGGAGACAGGTGGGAAGGGAAGGGGGAGGAAGAGGGGTGAGAAGAGGAAGAAAGAGGGGCGAGAAGGGGAGGAAAAGGGGTGAGAAGGGGGAGGAAGAGGGGTGAGAAGGGGAGGAAGAGGGGTTAGAATGGGGAGGAAGAGAGGGAGAGAAAAGCGAAGGAAGGAAGAAGAAATGGAAGATAAATAATGAGTGAGAGGCGGAAAGGGGAAAAGTGAAAGGAGAGAGGAGGAATGTAAATGAAGACGAGGGAGAGGAGTAGAAGGTGCGAAAGATGTGCACTGTGGTGGGGAAGAGGAGGGTGTAATGATGTGCACGGTTATGGAAGAGGAAGTGGTGATGTGCACGGTTGTGGATGAGGGCGTGATGATATGCACGGTTGTGGAGGAGGGCGTGGTGATATGCACGTTTGTGGAGGAGGGCGTGGTGATCAGCACTGTGGTGATGTGCACGGTGGTGGAGAAAAGGAGGGGTGTGTGTGTGTACTTACCTATTTGTACTCGCCTATTTGTGGTTGCAGGGGTCGAGTCTTAGCTCCTGGCCCCGCCTCTTCACTGGTTGCTACTGGGTCCTCTCTTTCCCTGCTCCATGAGCTTTATCAAACCTCGTCTTAAAACTATGTATGGTTCCCGCCTCCACTACGTCACTTTCTAGGCTATTCCACTGCCTGACAACTCTATGACTGAAGAAATACTTCCTAACATCCCTTTGACTCATCTGAGTCTTCAACTTCTGACTGTGACCTCTTGTTTCTGTGTCCCCTCCCTGGAACATCCTGTCTTTGTCCACCTTGTCTATTCCGTGCAGTATTTTATATGTCGTTATCATGTCTCCCCTGACCCTCCTGTCCTCCAGTGTCGTCAGGCCGATTTCCCTTAACCTTTCTTCATAGGACATTCCCCTTAGCTCTGGAACTAACCTTGTCGCAAACGTGCTTGATCAAGTGCGGGTTCCAAACAGGTGCTGCATACTCCAGTATGGGCCTGACGTACACGGTGTACAGTGTCTTGAACGATTCCTCACTAAGGTATCGGAACACTGTTCTCAGGTTTGCCAGGCGCCCATATGCTGCAGCAGTTATCTGGTTGATGTGTGCTTCCGGAGACATGCTCGGTGTTATACTCACCGAGTATAACACCGGTGCCTATACTCCGTCTGCGGTCTTCTGTGCCCTTCCCCGATCTTCATTAGTTTGCGTTTGGCGGGGTTAAATTCGAGAAGCCAGTTGCTGGACTAGGTGTCCAGTCTGTCCAGGTCTCTTTGAAGTCCTGCCTGATCTTCATCTGATTTAATTGTCCTCATTAACTTCACATCATATGCGAACAGTGACACTTCTGAGTCTAACCCTTCCATCATGTCGTTCACATATACCAAAAATAGCACTGGTCCTAGGACCGACCACTGTGGGACCCCGCTCGTCACAGGTGCCCACTGTGATACCTCATCACGTACCATGACTCGTTGTTGCCTCCCTGTCAGGTATTCTCTAATCCACTGGTGCCCTTCCTGTTATATGCGCCTGATCCTCCAGCTTCTGCACTAATCTCTTGTGAGGAACTGTGTCAAAGGCCTTCTTGCAGTCCAAGAAGATGCAATCAACTCACCCCTCTCTCTCGTGTCTTACTTCTGTTACTTTATCATAAAACTCCAGATGGTTTGAAACACAGGATTTTCCTTCCATGAATCCATGCTGGTTGGCGTTTATACTCTTGTTCCGTTCCAAGTGCTCCACCACTCTCCTCCTGATAATCTTCTCCATAACTTTGCATACTATACACGTCAGTGACACAGGTCTATAGTTTAGTGCCTCTTTTCTGTCTCCTTTTTTAAAAAGGGGAACTACATTTGCCGTCTTCCATATCTCGGGTTGTGTGTGTGTGTACTCACCTATTTGTGGTTGCAGGGGTCGAGTGTGTGTGTGTGGTGTGTGTGTGTGTGTGTGTGTGTGAGAGAGAGAGAGAGAGAGAGAGAGAGAGTGTTAGTGTAGTTTAGAGTAGTTTATAATTATTTAGAGTAGCAGACTTTTACTCTACGTTGCCAATATTTCTACCAGGTGCTCGTCCAAATATTGGCTATATGGGCGTAGGGCGAGTTTCTAATTTTTTTTTTCCATGCAAAGATTATTGACGATCTTTACTTATTATGTTGAAAATGGTATAAAACAGCAACAGGCTGATGATTAAGACACATGTGCAATGGTTGGGTATCTATATTGTTGAAACGTTTCAACAGTAAAGATACCCAACTGTTGCTTATTGATGAAGCAAATAACGAAAACGAATTTCATGATATTCCTAACATTTGTTCGCAGTGTGTGAGCGCTGAGAGGAATGTATCCCTCAGGGTATGTACTGTGAGCTGAGACAAATACATAGCGCTTAGTTTTGATGATAATGATACAAATACACTTTTCGGTGCATATATCCGGGTTATTCAGTTCTTCAATGGAGTGTCATTCAGTGTTTCATCAGGGTGGGAAGTCATTCAGTTCTTCACTGGGGTTATTCAGTGCTTCGTGAGGGGAGGATTTAGCACTTCACAAGGAAATCTTTTATTGCTATTCTAGGGGTTATTCAGTGCTTCACAAGGTGGATCTTCAGTGCTTCACAAGGTGGGTATTCAGTGCTTCACAAGGTGGATCTTCAGTGCTTCACAAGGTGGGTATTCAGTGCTTCACAAGGTGGATCTTCAGTGCTTCACAAGGTGGATCTTCAGTGCTTCACAAGGTGGATCTTCAGTGCTTCACAAGGTGGATCTTCAGTGCTTCACAAGGTGGATCTTCAGTGCTTCACAAGGTGGGTATTCAGTGCTTCACAAGGTGGGTATTCAGTGCTTCACAAGGTAGATATTCAGTGCTTCACAAGGTGGGCTCAGTGCTTCACTGAGTTATTCAGTCCTTCACGGGGATCATTCCAAGATTCACGAAGGTATTTGGTGCTTCACTGACGATTCCACTCAGTTCTTCATTGGAGGGAGTATCATTCAGTGCTTCGCGAGGTCATTAAGTATTTCACGAGGGTTTATTTAGATTTTTCGCAGGTGGATTTCATTCGATACTTCACAGAAGGAAGTCGATCATTGTTTCAAGGACGTGGTTAACCAATGCTTCGCTTTGCCCAGCTGGCTTCACGTACTTTAGGTCACTGCTAATGATATTTTTGAAACCTTTCCCATGTATTATTTTGGTAGGTCCCCAGACATGCTTAGCTCACTTGTATCTGAGGTGTACTTCTCATATATTAGTCTGCATTGAGGCTGGGTAATCATATTCCTCATCTTCGAGCAGTGTGCTGGTCGTACCCACACATGCAGCTGTTCTAGTTAAGAAACATGTGCAACATCTGATTGTCTTTATTGTACAATAAAGATAACCAGATGTTGCACATGTGTCTTAACTTCCATCTTGTTGGTATTGTATACCTTTCTTGCACAGCTGTTCTAAACTGTAACGTCAACGCGTATTAGGAAGTGGGAAAAGAAGGAAGAATAGAAAATGGAGAGAGAAAGAGAGAGGGGGAGGGGAAGGAAGAGGAGAGGAAGAAATAAGAATAAAGGATATGAGGAAGAGGATGTTAGTATTTATTATATTCCTCAGTAGGGACGTGAGTGGTTTGTGGCAGTAGTTCTTAAGTAACAAACGGTGTTGTGAGGGGAAGCAGTAAGCAGCCACCCTGGCTGCATGGAGTAATAGGCCACGACACAGGGAGGGAGAACTGTTACTTGAGTCACCACACTCGCCTCTACTTAACTATGTATACCTTCGACTTGCTACCTTAGGTTGCAAATGTGCTGGGATGCTAGTGTGCTGGAATACTAGTGTGCGGGAATGCTAGCATGCTGGAATGTTAGTGTGCTGGAATGATAGTAACTACTGGGTTGTGTTTGCGAGGGACGAGGCTTAATTCTTGGTAACGTTGGTATTTACTGGTTCCTGGCCTCTACGGTTTTTGAAGCTGTGTATGGTGTTTGCCTCCACCGGATTCTTAAGAACTGAATATTTAACTTATTTATCACTAAGACTAAGGACCTATTTCCCATCAACACTGTCTCTTATCTGTATTGTGTTTTTATACCCACCCTCTCTCTTCAAATTGCCTCGCATTTCAGCTCTCTCTACCGAAACCTCTGGGTATCTTGTATATCATTATCATGTCTTCCCTGATCCTTCTGTTATATTTAATTCATTTAAACCTTTATGGTTCATTTCTATTAGCTCTGGAGAAAGAGATTGTACAAAGAACATTATTATAATCAAAACTGTTAAACCCACTAGGGTGATACAGCACTGCTATACAAAGAACAAAATAAAACAAGCAAAAAGGAAGAGCGTAACTAAAGAGACAGTAACTTGCCTGTACAATAGGCTATTTCAAGAAAATACAAAATGTTACACAGCAACCGTATTTATAACAGATGGTTTGGTAATGCCAACAAATTATGGATGATAAACAAGAGCAGTAATTGGAAACTTTATTGAGACAATATTTGGTCTGCCCAGCAGGCTTTTTAAAGTCTGATGGCCTTTTTCCCCTTAGGCAGAAGAGGCCAGCCACGGTCAACATGCAGCTTTTCCTCTTGAGAAAATTTTCCCTCAATATGCCTGTTGCAACATTGCAAAGCTCCTGATGAAGCACAGTGTGTGAAAGATCTTGAGCTGAAATTTCCATCCTCCATGGCTTGTTCTGTGCACAGTATATATATATATATATATATATATATATATATATATATATATATATATATATTAATATATATACACACACACAGTATCATGATTTAGATAAAGAAAAATTGGATATCAAATTGGGGAGGAGTAGTATGGAAGAAGTGAATGTTTTCAGATATTTGGGAGTTGACGTGTCGGTGGATGGATTTATGAAGGATGAGGTTAATCATAGAATTGATGAAGGAAAAAAGGCGAATGGTGCGTTGAGGTATATGTGGAGACAAAAAACGTTATCTATGGAGGCAAAGAAGGGAATGTATGAAAGTATAGTGGTACCAACACTCTTATATGGGTGTGAAGCTCGGGTTGTACATGCTGCAGCGAGGAGGCAGTGGAGATGGCCTGTCTAAGGGCAATGTGTGGTGTAAATATGCAGAAAATTCGTTGTGTGGAAATTAGAAGGTGTGGAGTTAATAAAAGTATTAATCAGAGGGCTGGAGAGGGGTTGTTGAGGTAGTTTGGCCATTTAGAGACAATGGATCAAAGTAGAATGACAGGGAGAGCGTATAAATCTGTAAGGGGAAGGAAGGCGGGGTAGGGGTTGTCCTCGAAAAGGTTGGAGGGAAGGGGTAAAGGAGGTTTTGTGGGCGAGGGGCTTGGACTTCCAGCAAGCGTGTGTGAGCGTGTTAGATAGGAAACCGGTCATTTTTATATAGCCGGACTTGAGTCCTGGAAATGGGAAATACAATGCTTGCACTTTAAAGGAGGGGTTTGGGATATTGGCAGTTTGGAGGGATATGTTGTGTATCTTTATACGTATATGCTTCTAAACTGTTGTGTTCTAAGCACCTCTGCAAAAACAGTGATTATGTGTGAGTGAGGTGATAGTGTTGAATGATGATGAAAGTATTTTCTTTTTGGGTCACCCTGCCTCGATGGGAGATGGCCGACTTGTTAAAAAAATATATATAAATTTTTATTTAATTTCCTCCATCATAATAGTATATTTGGAGGGTATTCTGGGGGTCAATGCACCCACAGCCCAGTCCATCACCAGGCCTCATGGTAATTCAGGGCCTGATCAACTAGGCTGTTACTGCTGGCTACACACAATCCAATGTACATACCATAGCATGTAAGTAAGTAAGTTTATTCAGGTATACACAAATACAGTTACATAGAATTATCATACATAGCAGCATATGTGTAGAGAACCTAGGATAACTCAAAAAAGTCAGACAGAGTGACTTATTTCCATTGGTCAGGTACTGACTTTACTTAGCTGTTCAGCTCCCTCTTGAAGAGCCAGGAGTCTATTGGTAATACCCATTATGTAGGCTGGGAGGCAGTTAAGCAGTCTTGGATTTCTTGTTGTGTCATTGCTTAGTGTATGGAGCCTCTACCAAATGTCTTGCTTTTGTAGAAAGTGATTTCTGTGTGCAGATTTGGGACTAATCCCTCAAGAATTTTCCAGGTGTAAATTATGATGCATCTTTCTAACCTGTGTTCCAAGGAGTACAGATCAAGGGACTTCAAACATTCCCAGTAATTGAGGTGCTTTATATTGTACTTACATGTATAGTGAAAGTTATCTGTATATTCTCCAGGTCTGCAGCTTCGCTTGCCTTGAAAGGGGCTGTTATTGTACAGCAGTATTCCAGCCTAGAGAACGGACAATATATGAATTAAATGCATTAAGTCTGTTAAATCTGAATACAAATTTGCCCAGTGGACTGCAACAATAATAAATAATTCTGTATTTAATGGATTTTATCTGTTGCTTCCAAAAGTTGTTTGGCCGTGGATTTTGCTCATTAAATCGAAACTCCATTAAATCATGTACCATTAAATAAATATTTTTTGGCTTTGCTTAGAAGTTTGCATCATCATAGAGTTTTGCAATAATGTGCAAGTATTAACATCAGTATGAAGGGAAATGAATACTGTACATATTAAATTTCTTCACCATTTATTTATCCTTTTACAAAACTAAAATCCTGACAATTAATTACTGTACAAACTAACAGCAAAATCAAATTATGGATGCGTACCTTGGAAGAGATTATCTAATAACAAAAACCTATAAAAACTGCACTACATGAAACTTTAAACCAATTATATGCCATTGAAAAATTATGAAGACAGTACCTGATATCTATACTAATACAGTGGTACCTCGAGTTTCGAACAGCTTCCAACTCGAACAGTTTATGTAAGTGTATTTTTGTAAGTGCTTTTGTAAGTATATTTTTGGGGGTCTGAAACAGACTAGTCTAATTTACATTATTCCTTATGGGAACAAATTTGTTTGGTAACGGCACTTGAACAGCCTTCTGGAATGAATTATGTTCCTAACTCGAGGTACCACTGTACTTCCCCCTCAAAAAAATGATGGGATAATGATCAAAGAAAGTGAACCTGACTTCACCTTCCCAAGATCAAACCTGATTACTTCCCTTTTCCCCGAGGTGCTGTATGGTTAATATGGATTTAGCACCCCTCCCCCATGAATTTAATAATAATGCACTAATGCTCATACAAATAACCTAGCAAAATAATATTACAGACATTACACAAAGCAAAAAGTAGCTTAAATAATTCATAAACTACCATGAGGTAGGAACTGAAAAATAGTGGTACTTACGAGTTTAATTCATTCTGTGACCGAGTCATAATTCAATTTGCTCGTATATCAAATCAATTTTCCCCACTGAAATTAATTGAAATGCCATTAATCCATTCCACCCCTTAAAAAACCACCCCAATTTTCTGGTTAAGGGTTTTTAAATAAGAAAAATGTATTTATAAATAAGAAATACTGTATACTCCACCCACCACCATCTCTACTCCACCCACCACAGTCACTACTCCACCCACCACTATCACTACTCCAATCACCACCATGACTACTCCACCCACTGCCATCACTATTCCACCCACCACTATCACTACTACACCCACTACCATCACTACTCCACCCACCACTATCAGTACTCCACTTGCCACCATCACTACTCCACTGACCTTAATTAATGTTTCTGGAAAAACTCTGAGTGTTGAAATGGAGGTTACCTCTTCCCCGGATTTATACAAGAACCAAACAGGGAACGAGGTGCCTCACTACAATCTGTGGTTAGTGTGGGAGTATTATCCTTCCAGTTATGTCTTGGAAGAGCATGTGGGATAGGACAAAGTACCTGACGTTCCTCTGGGTACAGAGTTGGATTTGACTTCAGATACGCCGCCAATTAGTGGTGGCGTATCTGAAGCTCGCTCTTAACTCGGATTTTGGCTTGCAACTCAAAGTAAAAAATCAACTGAGCAACGGCTCATAACTCAAAAAAGTCATAAGTTGGGGCACTCATAAGTCAAGGTACCACTGTATTTGCATTAACAAAAATTTATAATTCCTCCTTTGGTTGACTTTTTTTTTTTTTACTTGAAAACTCCAATACATAAATAACTCGCATAGGAGACAAACTTTTGATGATGTTTCAGTCCAACTTAGACTGAAACATCATCCAAAGTGTGTGACTAGTTAATGGTCCAAGTCGGACCAAAACATCGTAATAAGTTTCTGTATGTGTATTGTTCCAGTCACAGTATTGTGACTTTGTATTCTTTCTGAAAGCTCCAAAATTTGCAGCACAAAATATTTTCGTCCAAAGCTATTAAAGAAAAAAGAAATGGCATTCATGGAATCACAGAATATCTTAAGAGATAAATCACAATATTTCAAAAACCACAACATAAAACTTATTGAAATAGGCAGTTTTCATTACATGATGAAAGATTTTGTCATCAGTCTTGCATGAACACTCTTCTAGCATAAAGTTAACACAATTCAAATTAGGTTACAGATGTACATACAGTGGAACCTCGGTTTTCGTCATTAATTCGTTGCAGAAAGTCTGATGAAAACCAAATTCGACAAAAACTGAAGCAATATTTCCCATAAGAAATAATGTAAACCCAATTAATCCATTCCAGACACCCAAAAGTATTAACAAAAAATACATTTTATAGAAAATAACTAGTTTTACATACAGAAAACAATGAGAAATAAATATAAAGGACTAGTGGAATAGGTAAATGAACATTTAACATCACGCCGCGGGGGTTATCTCTACCACCATCACTACCACCCTCTACTGATGAGAAACAAAGCAGACTGACTAGGAATGTGTGGGATGCTTTGCATGGGCACGGGCTAACACATTTGGTACAGCGGGCCACTGTCAGCTCGACGAAAACCGAGGTGATAAACGAAAACAGGGACAAAATTTTGACAAAAAAAGTTGCCGAAAACCAAATTTGAGGAAAACCAGGGCAAACAAAAACCAAGGTTCCACTGTAAATTTGAGCATGTACATAGATCAAAATATACATAGTGTAAGCATTAAAAGCAAGCTGACCATAATTACATTTTCTTACATTCCTGTATTGCACGAACTGCAGTTGAAAGACCACATGTGTTGGTTCTTAGTTTATCTGTGATTTCATGTGCTATTATATATATATATAGTATATGTCCATGTACTGGTACGTATGTTAGGATGTTTTAATTTTTTTAAGAAAACTGCATGAATTTATAACACAAGAAATGTAGGTATAATCAACAAAGCAACATTACACACCATATCTACTTTGCCCAAAAGCTATTATAAGACCCCCTATTATTACAATAAGAATTCCATTAACACAATGAAATTCTTATCTATAAAGCACACATTCAAAAAAACACTACATGGATCTTAGTGTATTCACACTCTATTAATATAACTACTTGTTATAAAATACTGTATTGGAATTGTTTGATTTCTTACACATATATACTTAAAAATATAAGAGGTATAATGAGAATCTGATTAAAAAACATCACTGCACAACATATATACACATTATCAGTTCCCTGTGGATAATATAAGGCATATTGGTTCCTGTACATTTTTTTAAAAACTGGTCACCTCCTACAGAGGTACAGTGACCCCAAAAAATGAAATGCATTCATCATCAACCATTCAACAGCTGTGTTCTCAGAGCTGCTGCACAGACATTTCAATTCCAATGACTTTCTCAACTGCAACATTTCCACCTCTTCTACAGAGAGCAAGCACTGTAATCCAACCTCTAGAATTCTTTATAATTCAGGATAATAAAACTTTTTTTTTCATGTATCTGCAGTGTGTTCCAGCTGCATGTAATATGTTACAATTGTTGGAACATAGTCGTGCAAACTAATAATGAACTTGTATTGTCTCTTTTTTTTTTATACAAAAAAGTACAGTGGTACCTCGGGATACGAACAGCTCAAAACTCGAACAATTATGTAAGTGTATTTATGTAAGTGCTTTTGAAAGTGTATGTTTGGGGGTCTGAAATGGATTAATCTAATTTACATTATTCCTTATGGGAACAAATTCGTTCAATACTGGCACTCACAGCCTTCTGGAACAAATTAAGTTCGTATCCCGAGGTACCACTGTATCTATAAAATTATAAATAAAAGTATGAAAGTCAAAATATGTGAGTAAGGGATCCCCAACAAATGGGACATCTCAGTCCCAGGCTGAGGGCACACGATACAGTTGTCAAATACAGTGGACCCCCGCTTAACGATCACCTCCCAATGCGACCAATTATGTAAGTGTATTTATGTAAGTGTGTTTGTACGTGTATGTTTGGGGGTCTGAAATGGACTAATCTACTTCACAATATTCCTTATGGGAACAAATTCGGTCAGTACTGGCACCTGAACATACTTCTGGAATGAAAAAATATCGTTAACTGGGGGTCCACTGTATAGAAGATGAGTAATTAGGGAAATGTCTTTCTTGTTTGTGATGTAAAACAAGCAGTCCTCAGAGACCAAGCTTAAAGTGAAGCTTATTTCATTAAAAAGTGCCAATTTGGTTACCGAGTAAATAAAAAATTAAATACAGGTTGTGGGCTACAAATGCAAGTTACTTACAGTAATAGATATCTAACCAATCCAACTTGAATGAAAATAAGGCTTATGAAACAAAATGCACTTTCATGAACTCTTTATAGCTGCTCACTATTATCATTACCATTTTCTTCATCTTGTACAATAGAACTAGTTACAGTTGTTACATCCTTCAGTAGCAGAGCAATGGTAGTAGGTTGTGCATGACATACCAACAGTAAAACCGCATCTCTCTTGAGCACATACCTTTAGAGCTTGGAAATTAGATGCTATAACTTGCAGCAGTGTTGGAGGAGACATAGAACCAGAATTAAAGACAGGAATAGAGCAATTATCAATTATTTTTCAGCCAAGGGCCAATATGTCCACAGGTGGTGGGTACTGCTTATCTGCAGTAAAACATGACCTGAAGATGGGCATGTTGGAAATACAATGCCAAGTTCTTATTGGTCAGCAGAAGGATTCTGATTACTGGTGATGCTTCTTTTTTTGGGAGGATTACAAAATGAAGTTGATTCATCTGAGTGACTAAATAGCATCCATAAAGAGTACTGTAAAAGGATGAATCAGCATCAAGCATATCAGACTGAGAAGATGCTTCTTACAGTATGTTCCCCAGTTCTGTATCATCACTTAGAATAGTGATAATTCTGTCACCATAACCTCTGACTTTAAGCAACAAATTCTTATCAGGACAGAAAAATTCTGTAATGTCACCCATAATACTGCAGAACCACAAAGAAGACTTAAGGATTTCATGTCGTCTAGATTTCTCATACTTGTCTCCTTGTTGATAAAAGGCATTCCTGGACTGAGAATATATACAGAAGAGCTTCCCTGAAATCACCACTGTCTTTTAGATGCTTTAGCTAACAAACCCTCATGTCTATCAAAAATTATTAGGACCTCTTCACAGACATTATAAAATTTCAATCTGCCACATTTGGACAATTCCTGCACGAGGCCAGACTATACTGTAGATCAGCTAAGGTCTATCCCTTATCATAATATCTCTTGTTATTAACTGTCTTGATGTAAAATTTATCCACTGTAGCTTTATTTTCCTTAAAAATTTTACAAAACTGATTCTGTAATGCTGTCATTTCACATAGTTCATACTGGAGTTCTTGCAAAGGGCTAATATCTCTCTACTACCCAATGACATGAAGGTTTGTTATATATCAATTCCATGTCAAAACTACTCTTTTCTTTAGATTTCCAGCAGTGCTGTATGATCCGTTCAGGTTCAGTATTTAATAATAATAGAGTATAATCAAATTATTATTATTATTCAGAATTTCCATGATTTCCACATAGTGAGATGTTTTGTCATGAAAGCCATAAAGCAGGTTATTCTTGAAGGAGAGTGACATGTTATCTCCATTTCCAACTGTTAGAGTATCATCCACATTAACATTTGCATTAGCAATCATGATAGTGCAGATACTAATGTGAGGAGTGTCACTCATGTCTGACAGTGTTTTACTGTGGGTGAATTGCCCAAATTCATAGTCAGCTGACTTTTCCTATGAGTGGATTTCAGCTTTAATCTTACAACATGTGGTACATGCTTATCAGAATCATTAGTTTTTACAACTTTGATTGCTTCAGATATATGATCACAAACTTGCACAACCATCTAAATGCAGCACCAAAACAGCATCACCAAACTACCTAAATGATTTCCTTTAAGTGACATTACCATTATAACCCATGTACATTTGATGCACATCCAGTGTTGTCCACATCTGATAGCAATTGCTTGCTATGTTATCTATTAAATTAAGTAATAGTTATCTATCACACTGAGAAAAACAAAATCAGTAACAGTACATTCATATTTAGGCAGTCTTTGTTGCTTAATCGGCAGTTTGCAGAACTTGTCATATCAGTCTTTGAGGTCCTGTGCATCTTCTGCAAGTAAATCATACGTTGCATGCGAGTCCAGCTCTCATTCCTTTCTAAACAAGTTAGGAAGACAAACTACATGAGAAATTCTTTAGATATTTTCAGCTGTCCTGCACTGTGTCACCTCTTTGGATTCTTAGAGCTAGAGACAGTGTAGTCACAAAATATTCAATGTTCCTCTAAGTTCAAAGCTTTTACCTGAGAATGATGGCATCTTTGCAACGAAGGATCACTAGATCTTTAGCTAAACCTTATCTTTTTCTCAGATGTTGGAGATGAGCTGATGGGCAGGACGAAACCCAGCTTTGATAACAAACAGAACATAATCAGAATCGTTGGACATTTTTTTTCTGCAAGCCAGTGCGATGTACGTCACCTCTCTTAACAATGTGCTCCAGTAACTGTATGAACTTGTCTGAAGACTTTCATGAGCTCTGCTGGGCAGTTGTAGTCAGAGTAACACACAGCTATATAGACTATGTTGAACAGTTTTCTGAATATAAAATGAGATGTAATGCTTATGCAACATATGCTATAATATTTTTTTTTTTTAACAATGGCCATCTCCCACCAAGGTAGCATGACCCAAAAAAAGAAATACTCTTTACCATCATTCATTCCAAAACTTGTGCTCACCTAATTGTGGTTGCAAGGGTTGAGACTCAGCTCCTGGCCCTGCCTCTTCACTGATCACTACTAGGTCCTCTCTCTCTCTGCTTCCAGAGCTTTGTCATACCTCATCTTAAAGCTATGTATGGTTCCTGCCTCCACTACATCACTTGCTAGGCTGTTCCACTTTCTGACGACTCTATGACTGAAGAAATACTTCCTAACATCCCTCTGACTCATCTGAGTCTTCAGCTTCCAATTGTGACCCCTTGTTTCTGTGTCCCCTCTCTGGAACAACCTGTCTCTGTCTACCTTATCTATTCCATACAGTATTTTGTATGTCATTATCATGTCTCCCCTGACCCTCCTATCCTCCAATGCCATCAGTCCGATTTCCCTCAACCTTTCTTCATAGGACATACCCCTGAGCTCCGGAACTAGCCTTGTTGCAAACCTTTGCACTTTCTCTAATTTCTTGATGTGCTTGACCAGGTGTGGGTTCCAAACTGCTGCTGCATACTCCAGTATGGGCCTGATGTACACAGTGTACAGTGTCTTGAACGATTCCTTACTAAGGTATCAGAACGTTATTCTCAGGTTTGCCACAGGTGTGCAGACACTACAGTTCAGATGCCCCTCCAAACTGCATATATCTCCACCCCTCTTTCAGAGAGCAGGCACTGTAGTTCACAAGTCCAGCTAACCAGTTTCCCTGAATTCCTGCATAAACGTTACCTCATTAACGGCTCATCAAGTCCCAAAAACTATATGACTCCACTCCTATCTAACATAATGTTAAAATATTGTATCATATAAGGCCTATATGATTATCTACTCTACAACCTATTTATCTACTTATCCTTGAGAATTCAATCCTAGAAAATTCAATGTATGAATATGAGATCCTACACATAGTCAATGGAGACAACTACAGCAGCCACTTTATAAGTTAATTTTTAGCCACTGCATATCATCCTGATGAATTTGCAATGGCCATAAATAAATTACCCTGATGGGAAAACTGTGGTTCAGACATTTGAACCATATAAAAAATCATGTTAGAAGGAAAGTTACACCAAAAACAAAATATTCATCTTGGATATCTGCAAATTCTGAAAAATACTCAATGCTGTTATGGTGGTGGTCATAAGATCTTGTATCAGGAAACTTTAGGAATAAGAAGTAAACAAAAACACATTAGACTACCAACAATTCCAGGTTCATCCCCTCGGCTACTAGTCTAATGCACCACGTAAGTCAAACATGTGCTATGTACATATACTGTTTGTCATGAAGCTTAACCCTTAAACTGTCCAAACGTAGATCTACGTTTGCAAGCATAGCGCTCCAACCTTGATTTTCTCCATAAGAAAGAATGTACAAAAACATAGATCTACGTTCGGACAGTTTAAGGGTTAATATATGGTCTAACACTGGAAATATTTACTGGATTTCACTGTCATCAGTGTACAACAATGATAATTTTCAGCTTATGAAGTACATATCTAAGTCTTCACATTTTCCATAGTAATCGATAATCTGTGCAACAATGTCATAGAAAATACACACTAAAGATAGCACTCTTCATTTGCAACACAAATTCCTAATAAAATTAGAACACATGATCATTCTCAAATGACTATTGTCAGTTTAAATAAAAAGTCCACAGTTACAGAATTGTCTGTTATTGTTATGATCATGGCATATTCATCTCTTCACTACAATTGTCATTACTGGTCACCCACTGCCACCTATTAGTCTGTTAATTCAAGAGTTTTGAGAGAGAGAAAGAGAGATTGAGATTGAGATTGAGAGACTTCACTGGACAGACAAAGCCCATGGTGAGCAAAACCTTTCCATAGTGAGTTACCAAATGTTAAACAAGTGTCTCTTTTATACAAGTCAATTTAAATAAATTATTTTTTTTTATTAACACATCGGCTGTTTCCCACCAAGGCAGAGTGGCCCAAAAAAGAAAAACTTCCATCACTCACTCCATCACTGCCTTGGCAGAGGCATGCTTACACTACAGTTATAAAACTGCACCATTAACACCCCCTCCTTCAGAGTGCCAGCACTGTACTTCCCATCTCCAGGAATTCTGTGACATAATGAATCATATTTACTTATTAAAGCATCAATAAGAATTAAAAGAAATGTGAAAATATCCTTTCTGTTTAATATATTTTTTCCTAATAAGAGAGTCATATCATAAGTACTGCAACTAATGTAAAAATTTACTTATGAGTCTTAAGATCAGCATTCAGTCAGCTGAATAAGTTATACAAAACTGTACTAAGGCAACTTTCCTTTTTTTCTTCTCAAAGAATATATATTCAATATTTATATCTTCACCCAACCTTCGGAATCTAGGCACTGAATTTTATGCATACACTGAGTTAGAGTTAATGGACTTACTTACATCACTAAGTATTGTACTGTAGCCTGGAACCTTATATAAACAAACAATACGTGTAAATTGCTTGACTAAAATGTGTAAAAAGATAAAAATATAATTATTCCATTTTTCACAGAGGTAAATGGGAGGATATTAATAAAAACAGTAAAGCAGATATCAAGATCAAAAGGGTCACATCTTATATATAATACTAACCAATAACAGAAAATGACTGTTCTGACAATATCTTTGGTGCCTGGAAGAAACCAAACTTTGTGAGAATAAATACCATACAAATATATATATCATGTTCAATGTAAACCTGCATTCATAACAATTTGCATATATCCATTTAACTCGTACACATGGCTCGGTTAGTTCAATAAAGCACATTACTTTTTGCATTACATTAAGAATTCCTTATGGATGTATCAATTACAGTAGTTCAATAAAATACATTACCAGTTCCATTAGTATAAGAATTCCTCTATGGCTGAACCAGTCAGCTCAATACAAAGCACAGCATTAATATTCACATTACTGAAAGAACTCATCTATGGGTTTAGCATATTCAGAAGTCCAATCTCGTTCAAATAATGCCTGGAGTTGGCAACGGAGAGAGAGAGCATCCACATCAACATCTGGATATGTTGATGTCGAATCTGTTTCATTGACTACTAGTCCTATGCCAGCTGTGTTGATAAAGTAGTCTCCACTCCAGTTGGAAGTACCTAGTGAAGAAAATTAATATGAGTAAACTTTTCCTGGCGCAAGTTGTGTTAGTCGACAGTGATGATCGTTTATGTTGTGATAGCTATAGTATAGGTCAACAGCCTGCTAACAACAACAGCCCGGCTTAGAAAGTGTATGAACTTAAATCTAGTCACTGGTATGTCACATGTAATGTATGCTGCATGAACATGAAGTAAATCAATGATAATGAATTAGATATATGAATGAGAGAAGCAGATTATTATTATTATTATTATTATTATATTAATGCCTGCACTTTAAAGAAAGGGGTTTGGGATATTGGTTGCTTGGAGTGACGTCTAAACCATCGTATCTGAGCACCTCTGCAAAGACAGTGATTGTGTATGAATGATGGTGAAAGTGTTGAATGATGAAAGTTTTTTTCTTTTTTTTTGGGTCACCCTGCCTCAGTGAGAAATGGCCGATGTGTAGAAAAAAAATTAATGGGGAAGAGCTAATTCCACAAGGGTTATACAGAATCTAGATAGAAGCAGAAAAACATACAGCACATTCAATAGTGTTCATAATAATGCTATGTTGTGTATGCAAAAATAGTAAATAAAATATATTTTTACTGAATATGAAAAGTAACCACAAGAGTACATTCTTGCTGAGTGTTGGGTACAGCAAATCCTTTTACATGCAGTTTCTTTCTCTACAATTCCTGAAGCAGTTAGCAGTCATAATAAAAGTACTGTACTGTGCAGGAAATCATCAGCTTGCAAACAAGATTATTTTTTTTACTTGCAAAAAGTTATTTGTATATAAAAATGCATATTTACAATGGATGGTTATGTTTCTCATATGCTCAAATTGCAACTCAGCAGTTGTAAAAGTTTCATTAACACCTTAATAACCTGTTTGTAAATGCATGTGCGTGTAACTAGTGATGTTTCTAATATGGGGACTCCTGCATATATAATGATACAGAAAAAAAGCACTTACCAATGTAGGCTGTATTATCAGTCACCATGTACTTGTTATGGTTGACTCGACCAAAAGGAATTTCTTCTTGCTCTTCTGTATATGCTGGTACTACAAACAAGCGCTGGAAAAAATATATAGTACACATATACAAATTATGCTACAACATACATGTAGTACTTAAATACTGCATAGTCAATGAAAATGAAAATTACAGTTCTAATCCATTGTCATCAAATCTTGAGTCTGCACCAACAGCTAACCCCTTCAGTAACTGACTGATTTCTGCTCCACCCATGGCCTGGGATATACAGGCTTCAATTTCATTCCAAATAGTACTGTATAACATACAACATTGGATTCATTAAGTATGTCACTGGTAATGAGGCCTCGCTGGCCCACCCTCATCATATTCCAGTCAGTACATACCTTCTCATTAGTTATATCTTTAATTAACTTGTTTAAAAAATAACTTTGCTACTCTTGACATTAATCAACAGTATAAGTAACTATCCCTATAAGAACAAATTGGACACTGCTAAAAGCATCTGCAAATATAACACATCTGATTAGAAATTAAAAATTTACTTGTCAGATTTCAGTCTCCAAGAATTATGCAGCTATCTTACAAGCCTTGCATGAAACCCAGACTAAGGTGCTTATAGGAGGTTCAGAGTTGGAAAATTCTAAACTCTGAAAAAAAAAAAAAAAAAAAAAAAATATCAGCAAAACTATTTAGTTGTCCAGGTGAACATTATATGTACAATGAGTTGGCTGTTCAATACATGAACATTTTATATAAACATGTTAGTATGACTTGTGATATACTGTTACAAAAATGATTATGAAGACTACTTTGGTGCTCAATAAGAGAATCAAAGAAAATTTACCACTTCAATGTTCATCATGGTTTCAGTACTGTTAAGGTCCTGAAGAGACTTTAAGTAATACTTCATATCAAGTCGTGTATGATTCCAGTGTGAACCAAGCACCCGTATACGAACACCTCTCTCCATGGCTGCAGCACGCAGGCTGTCATCAATAACAGGCCAATATCTGAAAATTATAATACAGTAGTAAACTCTACCCAAGGAATGAGGATGTACCATGTACATTACTGTATGATTACATTATTATTATTATTATTATTATTATTATTATTATTATTGTGTTAACCCAAAGGGTCATACAGTGGACCCCCAGATATCGGCCAAATTGGATTTTGGCTGTTTTGGCCAAAATTCTATCCTGGATTTCGGCCGGCAACTCGGAAATCGGTCGTATTGGACACGTCTGCCCGCCACTCCACCACGTTCATGAGTCAATCCAGCTGTGTCTCTGGGTGAGTGAGCAACACTCCGTACATTCATCCAAACTTTCGTTATAATCCACTGTTTTTTCTGGTTGTTTATTGAGTGTGACTGCAAAATAAGCCACCAAGGGCCCAAAGAAAGTTCCTTGTGCCAGCCTTTTGCTAAAGAAAGTGAGAAACACGATAGAATTCAGTGACAAAACCTTGTCCAATTTCAGGCAAATCTTAGAGACACCAGAAACAGACCTCTCTGGACAGTTTTTTTTTGTGCGACAGGAGTGCAGTGACTTTCAAGTTGGTCCTAGTTCTAGTAAAAGACAAAGAAGGGAAGTAACCCCAGATAGGAACTTGATACGTGAAGTCCTTATGGAGGGGGATTCCCCTTCCAAACAATAACCCCAACTCCCTCTCCCCTCCTCGCCTTCTTCAATACGTTAACAACAGTCTTCAATAAAGGTATGTAATGTTCATTTATCATTAAAATTTGTGCTTTATATTTATTTTTCATTGTTTTCTGTATTTAAAACTAGAGTTAATCTTTAAAAAATGTATTTTTTGTTAATATTTTTGGGTGTCTGGAACAGATTAATTATATTTACATTAATTCTTATGGGAAATATTACTTTGGTTTTCGGTCTTTATGGATTTAGGCCGGCCTTCTGGAACGGATTACAGTCGAAATCCGGGGTTCCACTATACTGTGTCTGGGAAATCGGAGGGCTTTAAAGTGAGGAAATAGACACGTGTGCAACACCTAGGTATCTTTTTTTGAAGACATTCTGCCAACCACTGGCTTTATCAATTGAATACAGAGGTTAATTGAAGATTTTCAAACTGGAGATAGTAGATGAGGTAATCAGTCTCTCAGCCTTGCATAACTAAACAGCAAGAGGAACACTGCAGCAGCCCAGTAGGCCTGCTGCAGTGTTCCTCCTTTCTTATGTTCCTGTGATGTACCAGTAAGCCATATGCTATCAAAGTTATGATTTACTAGTACAGTACATGTAAGCCATAGCACAGTCAAGTTTGATGTGAGGAGCAAATTTTGATCTATATATGAGAGAATGGGTCTGTGCAGTGTGTGCATAGCATACAAAAAAATTCTGCCCCATGCAGTGCATGATAGGAACAACTAACCTCTGACCCTGAATATGGGTTAAAATAGCAACTTTGGGGTAAATTTTATCATGGGTTTTGTGGCTTCACTGACAGTTTCATGATGCCAATAGATAGATTGGAAGACATACTACTGAAATGGAGATTTTTATTGGTTTCAACCCAGAAATGGCCTGAAATAGGCCACAAAGTGACAGAAATGGGCAATTTTCCTGGAAAGGGAAAGGGCTTCCCTTCCCCCCTGTTCTGTTTTATGGATTTTTAGAGTACACTATTTTAACAGGGATTCAAAATTCAGGGCAAGTCTTGTATAGGAGAGGCTTGGGAACATGATCAATGAGCAAAGAGAAAACATTGCTTTAGTTGCAGGAGCACCTAGTGTTTGTTTTGGACTCTATGTAGAAATTAGAATTGGTTGAGAACTGACCAAATTACCAGCTTCTGAATGCTTAATTAATAGAGTAGTTTTGGTGGTAGAATGGGCAGTTTCTTTGATCAATGTACAACACTGAGAATTAGTTGGTTTGAGCACTGGAATTGACCTAAAACAGGCCTGAAAATGGGCAAAATCACTGTAAAGGGAACCCTGACCTCCAACTTCATGCCTGCATAATTCTGTAAAGATTATATCAATTTTTTTGCATTTTTCATGTCATTACCTTTAGAAAGAGGTTCTCTACCATTTTAGTCCCTTATGTGGATACAAATGGACTTTCAATTTATGGTTATATATTACTTTTCAGTAAACCAATCTATATAATTAAATTCATAGAGAAGTACTAAACCCATGAAGGTCATACAGCACCTATGTAATGGGAGGCACTCTGATTTGATCCAAGGAAGGAGAAGGTAGCTCCAAGTCCTTGGAACAAGAGTCTTTTATAAGCAACAAAGCACCCCTCTGGAAAGGTAATCAACCTATATTGTAAATATTCCAGAGCAAAGTAAATAATTTGGCTTGGGAAATACAAAAATACAAGCTTACTTCCATCATCACTAAGCCACTGTAAAATACTCACTTCTTCTTAGTAAAGAGCATCTTTGGGAAATAGTCCATAACAGCAATGTAAACAAACTTCTTAGCCTTACTGATCACATCTATAATGGCATCAATGTCGTTGCTCCTTCCTTTTGGACAGAATGGAGGGGGAGAACTCTGAAAGTCATATTTAGCACATTTAACATTAAAGCCTTAGTTATACATCTTAATTTACGAGTTATGAAGTTGTAAAGGAAACATCACTAAAGAATTCTCTTCCCTGTACCTGCACTAAATAAAATGAACATATACATATATACATTACCTAAAGTAAAATTTGCACTGTACTCTAGCAAAACACATTAACTCTTCTCCTGAGTTAAGTGATAACATTGCAACAGACTTTTACAAATTAGTGACATTTTCAAAGCATTTACCTACATCTATGAAGTCTCATGCACCCCTGGAATTCCACTCCGTTTCCCACTGAGGCAGGGTGACACGAAAAGAAAGAAAAAACTTTCATCATTGTTCAACACTTTCACCATCATTCATATATAATCATTGACTTTGCACAGGCACTCAGATATGACAGTTTAGATGTCACTCCAAAATATTTTTTTACTACACTAAAGAAGAGACATTATGGGCAGTTTAAGAGCCTTAAGAGGTGAGAAGAATTTATCTATACTTCATATAACAAGCCTGCAAGAAGGGATATAAATCTTACTTATGGTATTGTGTAAATATGCAGCCAAGTAACAAGCAATGAAATGCAGTTAATTCTTAACTTACAGACAGATAAGTGTTGATTGTAAAACCACTGAGATTCACAGCCAGCTGGTTCTCAATGTTAAAAATGGTCTGCAGTGGCTTTGGCCAGACAGGTGGTATGTCAGCTCCCTTCTTACCCAGTTGCCAGTATACCTAGCCAAGGAGTGAAAACATTGATTAATGTTACTACAGGTACGAAAGCTGTACAGACATTAGAAATTTTTATAAATACCAGATATTTTTATACAGATATGGAGAACAGCAGGTATATGAGGTAAGAATTGAGAGTTTGAGAGTGAGTTGAAAAAGTTTGTAGTGTGTGTAAACACATGGGAAAGCAGCTACACAGAATACTTTATGAAGCAATTTCCAAGAAAGCATGCATGCATAGGAGTGCATGGATACTAAGAGAGTATGCTGCTAAATGAAGCACTGAAAAAAGGGAAGTGACTGACAGTGAGTGTGTCTGTAGATGTAATCACCTGACATTCCTGCTGGCTGCTGAGAGACAGTATAAGATACATAATATACACATACTGAAAATAACAAAACAAAGGTCAATCTAGAAACTATAATCTTACCTCAAAAATTTTGCTCATGTCACTGGCCAAACAAGAGCAGTTGTTAATAACTATGCCAACTTCTTTCACCTGAAAATTTTGGAAATTAAAGTAAAGTAAAACTGCACCGCATAATATGCTCTTTATCCAGAAATAACTCAAAACCTGTCTTCATTAAATGAATTTATAGAAAAAATTGAATGTAATATGATGGCCCATCAATTCAGATATCAGTGACCACACACACATCCCCTGAGCAGCTAAAGATTCAACTCATACATCACTAACACATACTGTATATCACTTGATAAGCTACACACAAACATGAACACTACCTGTGTAAGAGAGCGCCAGTCCATATTTGCACTTCCAAGATATATGTGCTGACCATCAACTATCCACATCTTAGTATGCAGAACACCTCCACCCATGAGAGAGTCAAAGTCTAAGCTTCGAACCTGAAAATTTCAGGCTTGCTTACATTTGTTGAAGCTTTCCATAAATTTTGCACTAAGAAATAGGGTATTAATAACAATCAGGAAAATGATTATTAACTTACCTCCACATAATCATGGTAAGTTAATAATTTTCAACGAACTGGCCGTGTCCATTGAGGCAGGGTGACATATGTACATATAAAATCATCTAACCTATGAGGTGCTACATACTGAAGCATCAAACTGAGGTTTTCTTTTTTTCTAAGTACTGTATACACCTGGGAGTAAGGGGTATTAAACTGCAGTAGCACTCTTATATAGTATTACAAGCTACTATACTTCAAAGACCAAATGTACAACAGAAAATAGGTGATTACAAAACATTATTCAACTCAATTGATTATGAAGCTGTGCAATTTAAACTCTAGCCTTAATAACTGAGTAAATACTGAAAAATCTTAAATTTCAAAAATTTAAGGACAAGTATTGAGGACAACGATCATTTAACTTAATATAGTAAAAAGGTATCTGTATGAAATCATCTTGCTCTTTAACATAAATGTCAAAAATTTCACTTTAAAGCTAATTTTGGGGACCTCTTCCTTCCTACTCCTTGAAAAGACACATTCATCTTGTACACTTTCTTGGAAAAAATATGGAGTGCAACCACAAAATATGTAGTTCATTAAAGTTACATGGTTAGCTTTGCTTGCAAAACTGGGTTTTCCTATCATAATGTAAATGTTGCAAGATACATTATATAAATTGTTACCACTTGAATAAACTGACTATTATTCTATCCAGGGTAAAGAGATAAAATCACAGGTGTAATGCATTACCTGGTGAATGGGAGGTAATCAGACAATCTAAGGTACAACAGGGTAGCTTACTAACCTGAGCTGTGCCTACTGCAGTGAGCACTGTACTGTCGTGTTGTTATAATATACCAAGTGAAGCTGCCACAAGTTGACTAACCTGTACAAGATGCAGAAACTAACCTGAGCTGCACCAGCTGCAGCAAGCATTGCACTGTCATGTTGAGGAGAAACAGCTGAGGGTGAATTCTGTGCTATTCTAATAAGCACATTTTTATCCAGACCTGTAGGATACACAAGATCTATAATCTCCACATATTCTTCAGCTTCTTAATAATTACACTAGTGTTGTGTAACTAGTCTATGAAGTGCATGTAAAGCTGATCTTGAGTTAATCCTCATAAATGGTCTCAGGTAGAATTAGTAGCACTATTTTTATTATATACATTTTTTTCAAACAGTCTCATTCAACAGGAGATAAATAAGGGATTTAGATTAAAGAAAAACTAGCATTGGAGCAACACTCACCTGTATCATTAAGACGTCTGAGAATATCCTCTCCTTGCCAGGATGATGCTACTGGCTTCTTAGTAACATCATCATTGAGAAGCGTCCAGTAAAATGCTGCTATATCAATGGAATATTCTGCACCATCAATGAGGGATGCCCAAGCACTATAGATGCTAGGATATTCCACACTACCAGCACTATACGTCAGGTTCTCAGGAATACTCTCAACCAAACGAAAACTGAAATTTTGATCAGATGTAACATATTACTGTACAAACATACACATACATAATGTGTGTGTGTGTGTGTGGTGTGTGTGTGTGTATACATGTATATATGTTTTGTGGGCGAGGGGCTTGGACTTCCAGCAAGCATGTGTGAGCGTGTTAGATAGGAGTGAATGGAGACGAATGGTATTTGGCATCTAATGAGCTGTTGGAGTGTGAGCAGTGAAGGAATTCAGGGAAACTGGTTACTTTTATATAGCCAGACTTGAGTACTGGAAATGACAAGTACAATGCCTGCACTTTAAAGGAGAGGTTTGGGATATTGGCAGTTTGGAGGGATTAGTTGTATATCTTTATACGTACATGCTTCTAAATTGCTGTGTTCTGGGCACCTCTGCAAAAACAGTGATTGTGTGAGTGAGGTGAAAGTGTTGAATGATGATGAAAGTATTTTCTTTTTGGGGGCACTGTCAAGAAATTTTAATGAAAATAAGAAAAAAATTTGGAGTTAAAAAAGTTAAGAAAGCCTAGAGAACAAATGGATTTGTCAGTTAAAAACAGAGTAGGGTAGTAGTAGATGGGGAGATGGAGGTATTAGGTAGATGGTGAGAATATTTTAAATGTCGACGAAGAAGGGGATGTGGTAATTTCATGCACTGAACAAGGAGGTATACCATCTTTTAGGAGTGAAGAGAAGCAAGATGTGAGTGTGGGGGAGGTGCGTGAAGCATTACGTAGAATGAAAGGGGGTAAAGCAGCTGGAGCTGACGGGATCATGACAGAAATGTTAAAAGCAGGGGGGATATAGTGTTGGAGCGGTTCGTATTTTTGTTTAATAAATGTATGAAAGAGGGGAAGGTACCAAGGGATTGGCGGAGACCATGTATAGTCCCTTAATATAAAGGGAAGGGGGACAAAAGAGACTGTAAAAATTATAGAAGAATAAGTTTACTGAGTATACCAGGAAAAGTGTACAGTAGGGGTTTTTATTGAAAGAACTAAAGTAAGACAGAATGTAGGATTGCGGATGAGCAAGGAGGTTTTAGAGTGGGTAGGGGATGTGTAGATCAAGTGTTTACCTTGAAGCATATATGTGAACAGTGTATTTAGATAAAGGTAGGGAAGTTTTTATTGCAATTATGGATTTAGAAAAGACATATGATAGAGTGGATAGGGAAGCAATGTGGCAGATGTTGCAAGTACATGTATATGGAATAGTTGGTAAGTTATTAAATGCTGTTAAGAGTTTTTATGAGGATAGTGAGGCTCAGGTTAGAGTGTGTAGAAGACAGGGAGATTACTTCCTGGTACAAGTAGGTTTTAGAGAGGGATGTGTAATGTCACTTTGGTTGTTTAATATATTTATAGATGGGGTTGTAAAAGAAGTAAATGCTAGTGGTGTTCGGATGATGGGTGGGATTAAATTATGGGGAATCAAATACAAAATGGGAATTGACACAGTTACTTTTTGCTGATGATACTGTGCTTATAGGAGTTTCTAAAGAAAAATTGTGAAGGTTAGTGGACGAGTTTGGGAGTGTGTGCAAAGGTAGAAAGTTGAAAGTGAGCATAGAAGAGTAAGGTGATGAGGGTATCAAATGATTTAGATAAAGAAAAATTGGATATCAAATTGGGGAGGAGTAGTATGGAAGAAGTGAATGTTTTCAGATATTTGGGAGTTGACGTGTCAGCAGATGGATTTATGAAGGATGAGGGTAATCATAGAATTGATGAAGGAAAAAAGGTGAGTGGTGCATTGAGGTATATGTGGAGTCAAAAAACGTTATCTATGGAGGCAAAGAAGGGAATGTATGAAAGTATAGTAGTACCAACACTCTTATATGGGTGTGAAGCTTGGGTGGTAAATGCAGCAGCAAGGAGAGGGTTTTGGAGGCAGTGGAGATGTCCTGTCAAAGGGCAATGTGTGGTGTAAATATTATGCAAAAAAATTCGGAGTGGGGAAATTGGGAAAAGGTGTGGAGTTAATAAAAGTATTAGTCAGGGGGAAGAAGAGGGGTTGTTGAGGTGGTTTGGTCTTAGAGAGAATGGATCAAAGTAGAATGACATGAAAAGCATATAAATCTATAGGGGAAGGAAGTCGAGGTAGGGGTCGTCCTCGAAAGGGTTGGAGAGAGGGGGTAAAGGAGGTTTTGTGGGCAAGGGGCTTGGACTTCCAGCAAGCGTGCGTGAGCGTGTTAGATAGGAGTGAATGGAGACGAATGGTACTTGGGACATGACGATCTGTTGGAGTGTGAGCAGGGTAATATTTAGTGAAGGGATACAGGGAAACCAGTTATTTTCATATAGTTGGACTTGAGTCCTGGAAATGGGAAGTACAATGCCTGCACTTTAAAGGAGGGGTTTGGGATACTGACAGTTTGGAGGGATATATTGTGTATCTTTATACGTATAGGTAGTAGGTTGGTAGACAGCAACCACCCAGGGAAGTACTACCGTCCTGCCAGATGACTGTGAAACAGAAACCTGTAACTGTTTTGCATGATGGTAGGATTGCTGGTTTCTTTTTCTGTCTCATAAACACGCTAGATAACAGGGATATCTTGCTACTCCTACTTACACTTTGGTCACACTTCACAGACACGCACATGCATATATATATACATACATCTAGGTTTTTCTCCTTTTTCTAAATAGTTCTTGTTCCTCTTTATTTCTTCTATTGTCCATGGGGAAGTGGAAAAGAATCTTTCCTCCGTAAGCCATGCGTGTCGTATGAGGCGAAAAAAATGCCGGGAGCAATGGGGTAGTAACCCCCTTTTCCCCGTAGACATTACTAAAAAAAGAGAAGAAGAAAGACTTTATAAAACTGGGATGCTTAAATGTGCGTGGATGTAGTGCGGATGACAAGAAACAGATGATTGGGTGATGTTATGAATGAAAAGAAGTTGGATTTTCCTGGCCCTAAGCGAAACAAAGCTGAAGGGGGTAAGGGAGTTTCGGGGGGGAAATAAATGGGAATAAATCTGGAGTATCTGAGAGAGTTAGAGCAAAGGAAGGGATAGCAAGTAATGTTGAATGATCAGTTATGGAAGGAGAAAAGAGAATATGAATGTGTAAATTCAAGAATTATGTGGATTAAAGTAAAGGTTGGATGCGAGAAGTGGGTCATAATAAGCGTGTATGCACCTGGAGAAGAGAGGAATGCAGAGGAGAGAGAGAGATTTTGGGAGATGTTAAGTGAATGTATAGGAGCCTTTGAACCAAGTGAGAGAGTAATTGTGGTAGGGGACCTGAATGCTAAAGTAGGAGAAACTTTTAGAGAGGGTGTGGTAGTAAGTTTGGGGTGCCAGGTGTAAATGATAATGGGAGCCCTTTGATTGAACTTGTATAGAAAGGGGTTTAGTTATAGGTAATATATATTTTAAGAAAAAGAGGATAAATAAGTATACAAGATATGATGTAGGGCGAAATGACAGTAGTTGTTGGATTATGTATTGGTAGATAAAAGACTGTTGGGTAGACTTCAGGATGTACATGTTTATAGAGGGGCCACAGATATATCAGATCACTTTCTAGTTGTAGCTACACTGAGAGTAAAAGGTAGATGGGATACAAGGAGAATAGAAGCATCAGGGAAGAGAGAGGTGAAGGTTTATAAACTAAAAGAGGAGGCAGTTAGGTAAGATATAAACAGCTATTGGAGGATAGATGGACTAATGAGAGCATACGCAATGGGATCGAAGAGGTATAGGGTAGGTTTAAAAATGTAGTGTTAAAGTGTTCACAGAAGTTTGTGGTTACAGGAAAGTGGTGCGGGAGGAAGAGGAGCGATTGGTGGAATGATGATGTGAAGAGAGTAGTAAGGGAGAAAAAGTTAGCATATGAGAAGTTTTTACAAAGTAGAAGTGATGCAAGGAGGGAAGAGTATATGGAGAAAAAGAGAAAGGTTAAGAGAGTGGTGAAGCAATGTAAAAAGGGAGCAAATGAGAGAGTGGGTGAGATGTTATCAACAAATTTTTTTTGAAAAAAGAAAAAAGTTTTGGAGTGAGATTAACAAGTTAAGAAAGCCTAGAGAACAAATGGATTTGTCAGTTAAAAAATAGGAGAGGAGAGTTATTAAATGGAGAGTTAGAGGTATTGGGAAGATGGAGGGAATATTTTGAGGAATTGTTAAATGTTGATGAAGATAGAGAAGCTGTGATTTCGTGTATAGGGCAAGGAGGAACAACATCTTGAAGGAGTGAGGAAGAGCCAGTTGTGAGTGTGATGGAAGTTCATGAGGCAGTAGGTAAAATGAAAGGGGGTAAGGCAGCTGGGATTGATGGGATAAAGATAGAAATGTTAAAAGCAGGTGGGGATATAGTTTTGGAGTGGTTGGTGCAATTGTTTAATAAATGTATGGAAGAGGGTAGGGTACCTAGGGATTGGCAGAGAGCATGCATAGTTCCTTTGTATAAAGGCAAAGGGGATAAAAGAGAGTGCAAAAATTATAGAGGGATAAGTCTGTTGAGTATACCTGGCAAAGTGTATGGTAGAGTTATTATTGAAAGAATTAAGAGTAAGACGGAGAATAGGATAGCAGATGAACAAGGAGGCTTTAGGAAAGGTAGGGGGTGTGTGGACCAGGTGTTTGCAGTGAAACATATAAGTGAACAGTATTTAATTAAGGCTAAAGAGGTCTCTGTGGCATTTATGGATTTGGAAAAGGCGTATGACAGGGTGGATAGGGGGGCAATGTGGCAGATGTTGCAGGTGTATGGTGTAGGAGGTAGGTTACTGAAAGCAGTGAGGAGTTTTTACGAGGATAGTGAGGCTCAAGTTAGTATGTAGGAAAGAGGGAAATTATTTCCCAGTAAAAGTAGGCCTTAGACAAGGATGTGTGATGTCACCGTGGTTGTTTAATATATTTATAGATGGGGTTGTAAAGAGAAGTAAATGCGAGGGTCTTGGTAAGAGGCGTGGAGTTAAAAGATAAAGAATCACACATAAAGTGGGAGTTGTCACAGTTGCTCTTTGCTGATGACACTGTGCTCTTGGGAGATTCTGAAGAGAAGTTGCAGAGATTGGTGGATGAATTTGGTAGGGTGTGCAAAAGAAGAAAATTGAAAGTGAATACAGGAAAGAGTAAGGTTATGAGGATAACAAAAAGATTAGGTGATGAAAGTTTGGATATCAGATTGGAGGGAGAGAGTATGGAGGAGGTGAACGTATTCAGATATTTGGGAGTGACGTGTCAGCGGATGGGTCTATGAAAGATGAGGTGAATCATAGAATTGATGAGGGGAAAAGGGTGAGTGGTACACTTAGGAGTCTGTGGAGACAAAGAACTTTGTCCTTGGAGGCAAAGAGGGGAATGTATGAGAGTATAGGTTCTACCAACGCTCTTATATGGGTGTGAAGCATGGGTGATGAATGTTGCAGCGAGGAGAAGGCTGGAGGCAGTGGAGATGTCATGTCTGAGAGCAATGTGTGGTGTGAATATAATGCAGAGAATTCGTAGTTTGGAAGTTAGGAGGAGGTGCGGGATTACCAAAACTGTTGTCCAAGGGCTGAGGAAGGGTTGTTGAGGTGGTTCGGACATGTGGAGAGAATGGAGCGAAACAGAATAACTTCAAGAGTGTATCAGTCTGTAGTGGAAGGAAGGCGGGTAGGGGTCGGCCTAGGAAAGGTTGGAGGGAGGGGGTAAAGGAGGTTTTGTGTGCGAGGGGCTTGGACTTCCAGCAGGCATGCGTGAGCGTGTTTGATAGGAGTGAATGGAGACAAATGGCTTTTAATACTTGACGTGCTGTTGGAGTGTGAGCAAAGTAACATTTATGAAGGGTTCAGGGGAACCGGCAGGCCGGACTTGAGTCCTGGAGATGGGAAGTACAGTGCCTGCACTCTGAAGGAGGGGTGTTAATGTTGCAGTTTAAAGACTGTAGTGTAAAGCACCCTTCTGGCAAGACAGTGATGGAGTGAATGATGGTGAAAGTTTTTCTTTCGGGCCACCCTGCCTTGGTGGGAATCGGCCGGTGTGATAATAAAATATATATATATATATATATATATATATATATATATATATAATATATATATAATCACACTGGCCGATTCCCACCAAGGCAGGGTGGCCCGAAAAAGAAAAACTTTCACCATCATTCACTCCATCACTGTCTTGCCAGAAGGGTGCTTTACACTACAGTTTTTAAACTGCAACATTAACACCCCTCCTTCAGAGTGCAGGCACTGTACTTCCCATCTCCAGGACTCAAGTCCGGCCTGCCGGTTTCCCTGAACCCCTTCATAAATGTTACTTTCCTCACACTCCAACAGCACGTCAAGTATTAAAAACCATTTGTCTCCATTCACTCCTATCAAACACGCTCACGCATACCTGCTGGAAGTCCAAGCCCCTCGCACACAAAACCTCCTGTACCCCCTCTCTCCAACCTTTCCTAGGCCGACCCCTACCCCGCCTTCCTTCCACTACAGACTGATACACTCTTGAAGTCATTCTGTTTCGCTCCATTCTCTCTACATGTCCGAACCACCTCAACAACCCTTCCTCAGCCCTCTGGACAACAGTTTTGGTAATCCCGCACCTCCTCCTAACTTCCAAACTACGAATTCTCTGCATTATATTCACACCACACATTGCCCTCAGACATGACATCTCCACTGCCTCCAGCCTTCTCCTCGCTGCAACATTCATCACCCATGCTTCACACCCATATAAGAGCGTTGGTAAAACTATACTCTCATACATTCCCCTCTTTGCCTCCAAGGACAAAGTTCTTTGTCTCCACAGACTCCTAAGTGCACCACTCACTCTTTTTCCCTCATCAATTCTATGATTCACCTCATCTTTCATAGACCCATCCGCTGACACGTCCACTCCCAAATATCTGAATACATTCACCTCCTCCATATATATATATATATATATAATATATATATATATATTCTAGGTAGTGGGTTGGTAGACAGTAACCACCCAGGGAGATACTACCGTCCTGCCAAGTGAGTGTAAAACGGAAACCTGTAATTGTTTTACATGATTTTAGGATTGCTGGTATCTTTTTTCTGTCTCATAAACATGCAGGATTTCAGGTACATCTTGTTACTTGTACTTACACTTAGGTCACACTACACATACATGTACAAGCATATATATACACACCCCTCTGGGTTTTCTTCTATTTTTTCTTACTAGTTCTTGTTCTTGTTTATTTCCTCTTACCTCCATGGGGAAGTGGAACAGAATTCTTCCTCCCTAAGCCATGCGTGTTGTAAGAGGCGAGTAAAATGCCAGAGGCAAGGGTCTAGTAACCCCTTCTCATGTATATATTACTAAATGTAGAAGGAGAAGCTTTTGTTTTTCCTTTTGGGCCACCCCACCTCAGTGGGATACAGCTGGTGTGTTGAAAGAAAGAAGAAAAGATATGTATATATACACATCTTTCTTTCAACACACAGACCGTATCCCACCGAGGCGGGGTGGCCCAAAAGGAAAAACGAAAGTTTCTCCTTTTACATTTAGTAATATATACAGGAGAAGAGGTTACTAGCCCCTTGCTCCCGGGATTTTAGTCGCCTCTTACAATACGCATGGCTTACGGAGGAAGAATTCTGTTCCACTTCCCCATGGAGATAAGAGGAAATAAACAAGAATAAGAACTAGAAAGAAAATAGAAGAAAACCCAGAGGGGTGTGTATATATATGCTTGTGCATGTATGTATAGTGTGACCTAAGTGTAAGTAGAAGTAGCAAGACGTACCTGAAATCTTGCATGTTCATGAGACAGAAAAAAGGACACCAGCAATCCTACCATCATGTAAAACAATTACAGGCTTTCGTTTTACACTCACTTGGCAGGACGGCAGTACTTCCCTGGATGTATATAAATAAATACTACATAAGTTCAAAATTAGGCTAATTCATGGATCCCTGACATTGCCCTATGCAGGGGACACACCAAGCCTCTGCCCAGCAAAATTTTTTGTTTTATTGTACTGAACACCTGTTGTACTGAAGTTGTACTTTACTGAAAATTTATACTAGTAAACAAATATAACCTGTAATTGCTTTACATGATAGTAGGATTGCTGGTGTCTTTTTATTCTGTCTCATAAACATGCAAGCTTTCAGGTATGTCTTGCTACTTCTGCTTACACTTAGGTCACACTACACATGCATGTAGAAGCATATATATACATACCCCCCTGAGTTTTCTTCTATTTTCTTACTAGTTCTTGTTAATTTCTGCTTATCTCCATGGTAAAGTGGAACAGAATTCTTCCTCCATAAGCCATGTGTGTCGTAAGAGGCGACTAAAATGCTCGGAGCAAGGGGCTAGTAACCCCTTTTCCTGTATATATTACTATATTTTCCTTTTGGGCCACCCTGCCTCGGTGGGATACGGCCAGTTTGTTGAAAGAAGAAACAAATGTAACAATTCAATGGAAAGACTGGGGTTTGAACCCACACACTGGAGGTCCTGGGACTGCCAGTCCATCATTTTAAATCACTGCACCACAGAGGGTCAAAAGAGATTTCCAACTTGGAAATGTTATCTGGAGAGGTTAGTGAAAGCCACATCTGCAACTTAATCACAGGTTATTACTGAAACCATCCAACCCTGTAGGCAGGCAATAACAAATCTAGCTACAGTAAATTGTGTGTATAGAACTATATTATGTATACAGTAGAGTACCATAGTGTTTTGTGTTATTTTTAAGTATTGCAATTTAGTGAATACTTGGTGAATACGTGGTACACTCTGTAATCACAATTTTACTACATGTAAACCACACAATAACCAAATTTCTGTAAACTCAGCATTGTAATCCTTATAGAGAATAAACTTTGAATTTGAATTTGAATTAGTTTACCGTATTGTTCTTCCTCTGTGAATGAAATTTATTACATAAATGTAGTCATTAAATAGTGATTAGGTCTCAAATAAGCAGTCCCGAGGTTCTAAGATTGCCAGCCCACTGATTGAAACCACTGTACCACAGAGGATCACAAGGAATCCCACTTACCAGGAGATTCTTTTACCTGAAAAGCAATTAAGTCTGGAGGTCCTAGGATTACCAGCCCACTGGTTTAAAACCACTGTACCACATAGGGATGAAGGAATTCCACTTACCAGGAAATTCTTTTACCTGGAAATTTCAATGAAAGACAAAGCTTCAACTTGGAAAGATTTTACTAAGATCAGCAGACTCTACCAGCAGGCAGTAACAACCTTAGCTGTTGTCCCTTTTATGTCACTTCTAAAATTTTCTAACAAATGAATTTAACAATTCAATGGAGTAATCGGAGCTCACAGTCTTAGTTTTGTAAACTTGTCACTTTAAACCACTGTGGTCAAACTATGAGAGAGATATCTAGGATGCATTGAAACTATGTAAATTAATTTTTTTTATAAATTTGTAATACTGTATATACATGCACTAGTCATGAGACTGAAGATTACAGCAATAAAAGTAGCATGAAAAAGACGACACTACTGTACAGTAATACCATACTTCATGCTAATTTAATATGCAGAATGTGAATTCACTTTTATGCTATGACCCATTTCTACCAATAATTCCCTATGAATAATATAAATTTACTTGTATGCTATCATGGTGGTTTGCAATATGTAATGAAGATTCCTATAATGAAGAATTCAGTGTTGATAACCTGACTGAGACTGCTATAGCTGTCATAGGTATGAAGCACATCTGCTGCATAATATGAGAGACACCAGTAATGTTATATTACAAGAAATAGACAGTTCACAGTGCTAATCTTTTCAGCTCAGCCCAAGTTGTAGGACTTTTTATGAAATTAAACTGTGCTATTTTTCCCTAATATCCAAAAATGCTTTTTATTAAAACTAACCTGCAGTGATCACATTCAGAGTATTTATTCTGGATACGGGAAATGCTGTCATCCAGGAGAGCCATGGCAACAATGAGCATTGATAGTGTGACGATGATGGTGATAGGGACACACGATGGTCGTAGCCAATCCCGCAACCTTGATTTTCCACCGAGGTGATCTCCTTGCATCCTTCGCATGTGTTTATGTAACATGCTATTATACCTGAGAGAAATATAAGTATTACCTAAACAAAAATAACAAATAATTTATAATGCTAACCTGGAATTCAAAGCATACATCAGCACAGCTGTATTATCTAGGTTAGTTTTATTTTTTTAATACAGTCAGGCCCTACTTTACAGCACTTTGCTTTATGGCATTTCGCTAATGCAGCAGTTTTCAATTACACCTAGTCTTCATTTAATCAGATTTTCTACAATAAATATATTCACCACTCACTATAAGCTAAGGATGGAAATATTTTAAGATAAGAAATATGTGTACTGTATATGCATTTTTTGGCTCAATATCCTCCTGTACCATACAATTATTATATTATAATAATACATTTTATCCATGGGGAAGTGGAACAGAATTCTTCCTCCATAAGTCATGCATGTCATAAGAGGTGACTAAAATGCCGGGAGCAAGGGGCTAGTAACCCTTTTTCCTGTATATATTACTAAATTTAAAAGGATAAACTTTCGTTTTTCCTTTTGGGCCACCCCACCTCAGTGGGATACGGCTGGTACGTTGAAAGAAAGAAGAAGAATAATACATATTTCATCATGGGGAAGTGGAACAGAATTCTTCCTCGATTAGCCATGAGTGTCGTAAGAGGCGACTAAAATGCCGGGAGCAGGGGGCTAGTAATCCTTTCTTCCTGTATACAAAAAGAAACTTTCATTTTTCTTTTTAGGTCACCCTTCCTTGGTGGGATGTGGCCGGTTTGTTAAAAAAAATACATATTATAACTTAAAAGAATCTAAATAAAAATTATAACACAGTTTTAGTTTGTGACAATTCAGCATTATTAATGTCTGTACATACAGTGGTTTAGATTATAATGGTTGACAGCAACTGAATAAGTTAGAAAATAAGAAAAAGTGACATAACAAATATTTATCATTACATATGAAATATTACATCAATATGAAAAGTTTTTTGACAATGTTTTTGAAGCCATTGGGAGAAAGATTCTTTTATCTTTCGGGCAGGGTGTTCCAAATTGTGGGTCCTTTGATTTGCATTGAGTGTATACTCTTAGGTCATACACATGGAACATCAGAGAGATACAGTGGACCCTCGGTTATCGGCTGTAATCTGTTCCAGAAGCTCGGCCTAAACCGAAATGGCCGAAAACCGAAATAATATTTCCCATAAGAATTAATGTAAATACAATTAATCTGTTCCAGAAAAATATTTCAAAAAAAAAAAAAAAATTTTAACAACTAAATCAGTATTACATACCTTTATTGAAGACTAATGCTGGCTTCTGGAATACCTGCTACACTCCCTGCATGCCTGCTACACTTCCTGCATGCCTGCTACACTCCCTGCATGCCTGCTACACTCCTTGCATGCCTGCTACACTCCTTGCATGCCTGCTACACTCCCTGCATGCCTGCTACACTCCCTGCATGCCTGCTACACTCCTTGCATGCCTGCTACACTTCCTGCATGCCTGCTACACTTCATGCTTAAATTCCATGGTGTTTCTCACTTTCTTTACCACAGGAACTTTCTTTGGAACCATGATTACTTATCACAGTTGCACTGCAAAAAACCCACAAAAAACAATGGAAAACAAACAAAATGTTTGGATGAGCAGAAGCTTCCTCATGCACCAAGAGACACACCCAAACTGACGTGCAAGTGGCCCCAGGTGGCAGACGGACGTGTCCGAAACAACCTATCACCAAAATAATGGTCGATCACCGGGAGCCGAAAAACCGGCCAGTTACCAAGTTAGCCGAAAACAGGAACGGCCGATAACCAAGGGTATATATATATATGTATATATATATATATATAAATATATATATATATATATATATATATATGTACAGTGGACCCCCAATTAACGATCTTTTTTCATTCCAGAAGTATGTTCAGGGTACCAGTACTGACCGAATTTGTTCCCATAAGGAATATTGTGAAGTAGATTAGTCCATTTCAGACCCCCAAAAATACACATACAAATGCATTACATAAACACACTTACTAATTGGTGGCATTTGGAGGTGATGTTTTAAGCGGGGGTCCACTGTGTGTATATATATATATATATATATATATATATATAATATATATATATAATGCAATAAGATCACAGTTACAGGTGATTTCAGAATATGCAAAACAACCACTCTAAAAGAATAGAGAAATTCCAAGCGCTTTCGTGACTACTCACATTATCAAGGAACTATAGTTCCTTGATAATGTGAGTAGTCACGAAAGCGCTTAGAATTTCTCTATTCTTTCAGAATGGTTGTTTTTTCATATATATTAATATATATATATATTATTTTTTTTTTTTCAACAAATCAGCCGTTTTCCACCGAGCAGGGTGACCAAAAAAGAAGAAAATCCAAAAAGAAAATATTTTATCATCATTCAACACTTTCACCACACTCACACATTACAATGTTTTTGCAGAGGTGCTCAGAATACAACAGTTTAGAAGCATATACGTATAAAGATACACAACATATCCCTCCAAACTGCCAATATCCCAAACCCTCCTTTAAAGTGCAGGCATTGTACTTCCCATTTCCGGGACTCAAGTCCGACTATATGAAAATAATCGGTTTCCCTGAATCCCTTCACTAAATATTACCCTGCTCACACTCCAACAGATCGTCAGGTCCCAAGTATCATTCGTCTCCATTCACTCCTATCTAACACGCTCACGCACGCTTGCTGGAAGTCCAAGCCCCTCGCCCACAAAACCTCCTTTACCCCCTCTCTCCAACCCTTTCCCAGGACGATCCCTACCCCGCCTTCCTTCCCTATAGATTTATATGCTTTCCATGTCATTCTACTTTGATCCATTCTCTCTAAATGACCAAACCACCTCAACAACCCCCCTTCTACCCTCTGACCTAATGCTTTTATTAACTCCAAACCTTCTCCTAATTTCCACACTCCCAATTTTCTGCATAAAATTTTTCACCACAGACACGCAATGGCATATACATATACATACATCTAGGTTTTTCTCCTTTTTCTAAATAGCTCTTGTTCCTCTTTATTTCTTCTATTGTCCATGGGGAAGTGGAAAAAATCTTTCCTCCGGTAAGCCATGCTGTCGTTGAGGCCAACCCAAATGCCGGAAACCCCT